CAAGGGCCGGCTGCCGCGGGTCCAAACTCGGCCGGGAAGATTGAAGGGTGATGCGTTAAAGCATCTCGTATCGCTCTTTAAGTTTGTCATGGCTTACCTGTGCTCCTGTGACGTGTGCTTTAGCGATCATGCAGCCTTAACTGAACTGTCGTGTACAAAGGCATCATCCTGCAACATGACGAGAGGCTGCCGTGTTTAATAAACCGAGAGTTCTCAAAACTGCACTAGAAGTCCCCCTAAAGGCACATGCTGTTGCCTTTGCTGCAAGACTACCGTTTCTCAAAGTGCATTTTCAGCCAGGTACCCACATAGCTTTGATGTAGATGATTTTGCAGCTTTGCTCTATTCTTGCCTCAGTTCTTTCTGATGATCTTAGAACAGTGAGGAGAGCACCAAGGTATTGAAGAGAGTGCCAAGGCATCTTAACAGCGGACGATATTCCCAGCCTTTTCATTTTGGTGGCACTTACTGTTCACTGATTGAGAACATAAGAAACAAGTTTCTAAACCAAAGCCAATGACAAAAAACATCCCTCTGTATAAGAGCTTTGCAGGTTTGTACCGTGGATGGATCTGAATCTCCTATCGGCCTATTTCTAGGTAGGCTCTAGGATAAACTCGGGTGTAAATATGCTTTTAGAGATTGCTGCTACAAGCACAAAAGGAGGCAGATTTAGAGTGGGATTTTAGTTATTTTTACCCACTCTTTTTGGCCTGTTTTTACACCGGCTTCTTGCATGACTAAATCTTTTATGCAAGGTGTCTCCCTTTTGGGTAAAGGAGCTATGGGTATTCCTAATTACCTTTGTTTGTTTTCCCCTTGTTTGGACTTGTTAAATTCAGACTGCCAGTAGGCAGCTAGATCAAGATAAAACTGTTGTTTGAATTGTCTTTGTATATACTCTAGTTAGAACATGATACTGTTATAAGAGTTTAGCATCTTCCACTACGAAGCATTTAGACTCTTATCCAGCAGATGATTGATTTTTTGCAAATCCCAGGTCTCTCAGCTCACACTAGAGCTGCCCCTAAGCCCACTGGCTGCAAGAATCCTGTGTGAAGTAGTGGCCATAGAACCTAAATCTAGGACTCTGTAACAGCTTTCTGTTCAGCAGAGTTTGAACTCCTACCAATCAGCCACCTCCCTCAGTCGAACAGTTAGCTTAGATCCTAACAAGACAATCCAACATGTTTCTACTTTGTTTTGCTGGAGGCTAAGAGCATACTCAGCCAGCCACGGTGGTCAGATGAGGCACCAGTAACTTGATCGCATGTGTGAAGCCTAAGGTAGCGTTTGTCGGGTGTGCATTTCCAGCTTATTTTGACATAGGAAAGTTTTTGTTATACACGCATGTACGTGTTTGGAAACCGTTTCAGATTGTTGCAGTAGCTCCACCATAACTGGGTATTTTTGGAAAAAGCACTGTGGATCTATCATAACTGCAGTTCAAAGAAGGGAGTTTGTGGGCAGAGTGCTGTTACTCAGATCGTCCAGAACAGCCTGAGGGAATCTTAAGATTTTAACCTTAAAAAAAAATAAAATTCACTGCAATATTTAAAGAGTATTGCTGACTATATAGAAGCATGCAATAATAAGTCAAATGCCAAGAGCTGCTCTATACATTATTATATTCTTTTACATATGCGTAAAAATATTTAAGATTTTAAATGGTATGATTAATCCTGGAGGTGATAGCTAGCCTTCATTTTGGGGCTGTGGCTTGTAAAATGCATTTTATTTTGTATCGTTTGCAGGTATCTGTAATCAAGCATTCTGCTACAGGAAAAGCTTACGCAAAGTAAAGACTCCCTGGAAGAAGTCAGATGCTTCCTCTGGTTTGCAAGCAGAACTATCAGCCTGTCAGTTGTGTTGTGCTGTCTAGCAGTGTTAACGCTCTTTGTAGTGTTATAAATGGTTTGAAGGAAACTCTGTAAGGCTTTCATGGTATAATTACAGGTCACTACAGAAGGAAACAATACACAGCTCTTTCCAACAGGGAAAGTTTTCTGTGTGCATTTAAGCATCTAGTTTAAGCTTGATTCTAAACAACTCAAGAGCCATCTAGTTGAAATAGAGTGTTTTGGACTCATTGCAGTACTTCATAGAATCACAGAATCATTACGGTTGGAAAAGACCTTCAAGTTCATCAAGTCCAGCCGTTAACCCAACACCACCATGCACCCTAAACCACGTCCTGAAGTGCTAGGTCCACACGTTTTTTGAACACTTCCAGTGATGGTGACTCCACCACCTCCCTGGGCAGCCTTTCCAACACTTGACCACTCTCTCGGTGAAGAAAGTTTTCCTAATATCTAGTCTAAACCTCCCCTGGAGCAACTTCAGGCCATTTCCTCTCATCCTATCACTAGTTACTTGGGAGAAGAGACCAACACCCTCGTTGCCACAACCCCCTTTCAGGTAGCTGTAGAGAGTGATGAGGTCTCCCCTCAGCCTCCTCTTCTCTAGGCTGAACAACCCCAGTTCCCTCAGCCGCTCCTTAATAAGACTTGTGCTCTAGACCCCTCATCAGCTTCGTTGCCCTTCTCTGGACACACTCCAGCACCTCAACGTCCCCCTTGTAGTGAGGGGCCCAAAACTGAACACAGGATTCAAGGTGCGGCCTCACCAGGGCTGAGTACAGGGGCACAATCGCTTTGCTAGTCCTGCTGGCCACACTATTTCTGAGACAGGCCAGGACACTGTTGGCCGCCTTGGCCACCTGGGCACACTGCTGGCTCATGTTCAGCCGGCTGTCAGCCAGCACCCCCAGGTCTTTTTCTGCCAGGCAGCTCTCCAGCCACTCCTCCCCAAGCCTGTAGCGTTGCAAGGGGTTGTTGTGACCCAAGTGCAGGACCTGGCACTTGGCCTTATTAAACCTCATATAGTTGACATACTTGTTTTATTTTAAACAAGCAACACCATTACCATTCCCTGCTTTAGTGATAAAAGACTTTTAGGTTTCCAACCCTGGAATTCCAGGGTAATTCAAAGTCATTTCAATTCTATAACAGAAAATGAATTTCACCTAATGTAGAGGAACCACAAGTTCTTCAAACACGGTTTTGTAAAACTCTACAGTAATATTTCTCTTGCAGTGCTACTTTGTATCCACAAACTTGAAAAGAAACCACAAATCATGGCCAAAGAACTTTATTCTATGAGGCACTTACATTCAGTATCATGTACAGTAAGCTCTAGTGAAAAACAAAACAAAAATACCACAAACAACAGGTAAAGAAAGAAAACACATAAAAGTACTTCCAGAGGAGAAATCACATTATAGTCCACGAGTCTGCTAAATTTTAGGCTTTTGGCATGGTTTCCACACCCTCTTCACAGATGCAATATTTTACTTTTCAGTTCTCTCCTCCTGTGGATTTCTAAGGCAGCAGAATCAGGGCACCAGGAGAGCAAGTCAAAGTCTTTGACAGAGGACCTAACGCAAATGTTAACCAAGGTCTGACAGCTGGAGATAAGCAATAAAAGATCAGTACAGGGAACAAACCCCAAATAATTCAGACATCAGGTGATTTACAGCTAGAGAAGTCAGAGAGGGAACAGAGGACATAAGTAAGGCTCAGATGTTTCTCAGCCTCACAGAGGTCGTGGGAACAGAGGACAGAAATACAGGCTCAAATATCTGTCAGCCTCACAAAGGGCATTTTAAATAAAGGGTTGTTGGGCATACTGACCCTATCTGTGGACCTTTCTTTTACTTTTCATCAGAATGGACTAAATGAAAGCCAAGATGAATACAGTAACCAAGTTGTGCCACAAGACAAATATAAATCAACTTCTTCGAACAATATATCCTTTCTATGCATATAATATACAACACAAAGTGTTTTATTTGAAAAATAAACATTTGATTCATTTTTAAAATAACATAGCAACTACATTCCACCATTTTGCCAAATCAGAAGTGTAGCCTTAGGTTGCAAACTGCTCATTTTAGTGGTCAAGCCTTAAAAAGATCAACATATTTGATCTGAAAAGTGCTGCAGAAGTAAGGTTGATATAGAATCAGGAAGAAATAGGTAGTGCAGATGTATACCCTTGCTAAGGGCTTGGGGCTTTCTGTTTGTTTTTTGAAAAACAAACCCACAAGGCAGCATACATCATAAAGAACTGCTAGTAAACCTAAAATTTGACCTATATTAAAAATCATCTGAGAATTCAATACAACTCTTCTCATCTCTGACTTCCCCATTAGGGGGTTTTCTTTAAAACGGCACTAGTATTTTATGATAGCATACCCTGAGTATACATACAGCAAAGGAAACTAATTTCAGTTTCCAAGCTTCTGGCATAAAAGGGGAGAGGAGGAAGACTTGTTTCTTTTTTACATTAGGAAGAATATCATAGAGACTTTCAAACCAGTGTATTCATGTCACTGTTTAATATATTACTGTCTGAAAAGCATAATGCTTTGTAACCAAACACTTGCTTCATTCCAGCTGAGTCTTTGACTTTATTCTACACCATGAGATCTCAGTATCTTCTTTCAGAGATCTGTCTTATCCTCGTAACGACACATACATGCAGCCCTCTGGCTATCCAGGTATGGTTTACATCCTAAATGTATAACCGCATCAAACAACAGCTGAACAGTTGATTCACAAGCTGCAAGCAAAGAGGAGTTCAGTTAAAAGTACTCTTTGAATGGGATATGAAACTAACAGAAATTACTCTGGAAAACTGAGAATGATTTTAAGAAAGAAGCAATCTTCCCTGGGTATAGCAAATAGACTGTCAAGTGAAAGACTGAACCAATACAGAATCATTTAAGTTGTGAGTAAAGACTTTTCATATGCCAGCCAAGGAACAAGAAAATTCATTGCATGTGGAATGTTATCAGTGTTAGAAACATCACTTAGCCTTGGAAAAATGAAAGAGCTGTTTTACTCGCTCACTTTTTGCATCCTAGTTTATGCAGAGGTTGCTCTCTTTAACAGCAGCTCAACAGAATTGAGCAAGTATTTCCCAGTTCTAACACTAAACACTAACATGATGACTTTATGCACTTAAATGAGTTTGAGAAATTCAAACACAGGCTTGTTCTAAAAACTGTCTGCTCTTAGTGGGACTACTTACTGTAAAAGTGATATTGTCCAAGTTAAAAAGTGTGGTTATGTCATGTATTGATCTGATGCAGGCCAACAACCAGAAGGAGTATCATATGGACTGTAACTGAAAAAACTAAAGTTTATTCACTAAGGGACAGTATTAACTACTTCCACTATCACAATGTATTATTCTAATGTCTTACTTCATAAAAAGAAACAATTCAGCGTTTGCAATCACTCACAGTAGACATTTAGAAGTCACCCAGCAGAACAGTGAATATTCCGCTATACTACAGTAAATGAAAAGAATTATACATGCATTTTGATCAAGCTGTATTCCCATATTCATACTCCTAAATGAGAAGCATTAATTTTTCCCCTCAGGGTTGGTTTTAACCCTGATCATTTTGCTATGCTGTGTCATTGCTCTGCTGTATCTGGGCTGCACCACAGAGGGACAGAACAAGGCATTTTTCAGCAACAGTATCAGCTTATGAAAATGTGATATTACTGTGCTGCACAGAGATTCTTTGCCAAATAAGGTTGCTTAAAACTGGGGGGGAAAGGCTTTTTCACACTTACCCTGGACACTCTCTGAGATTCCAAGTGTTTTCTGGACATCTCTGCAAATTTTGGAGAGGCAGGATTGAAACTGCTCATCACAATCATTTTTTTTATTGCCACAAGTGTCATAGCATCTGTCGTGGTGATTGCAGCACTTTGTCATCGAAGGGATACCGATGTCAAACTGTGAAGAAAATCCCCCCCACACACACACTCCATTGGTATTCCAGTTAAGATACAGCCAATGAACAGACTACAACAGTTAGAAATTAAAAACTAATGTAAGCAATGCAGTTGTCACTCTGTATTTTGCTGTTCACCTCCAATAAGCTGTGGTGGTTTCACTCTGGCCAGCATCCAAGCACCCACAGACTTGCTTGCTCACCTTGCTCCACAGAATGGAGGAAAGAATAGGAAGAGCAACAGCAAGAAAACTTGTGGGTCAAGATAAAGACCGCTTAATAGGCGAATGAAAGAGGGGGTAAAAAACACCCCAAAATAAGCAGTGCAAAAGCGATCATTCACCGCATCCCAATGAGCACATAGATGCCCAGACAGTCTCTGAGCAACAGCCCCCCTGGAAGCCAAAAAAACCACACACCAGCACCACTGCTCCCTTCTTCCACTACTCCAGTTTTTATTGCTGAGCACGACTCTTACGTAGCACGGAACATCCCTCTGGCCAATTCAGGTCAGCTCCTCCAGCTGTGTCCCCTCCCAAGCTCTCATCCAGCCCCAGCCTATGCTCTGGGCTGGCAGATGAGCAGAGTGGGGAAAAAAAGAGAAAGTCCCAAAGCTGTGTAATCACTGTTCAGCAATAGCCAAATAACAGTTTTAGCCAAAAAACCTGAAGATAGTGCCATGCAGCCTGCTATGAATAAAGTTAACTCCATCCCAGCCCAACCCAGTACACAAACTAACCCATATTTTCTTTCTCGCATTAAGGAATATGGATTAGCATCAGTAAGGACAGCAAGAGTCAGAGCCAAACCCTCCGCTCTCACAGGGCTACAGCTGGGGTTATTCAACGCTTTCAAGATGGTGAGAACAAAACTTGGTTAAAAAATTGGAAATTAATCATCATCATTCTGTTTTATGCCTATAATATGTCAATGATGAAAATGTTTATGCAATGTTCACTAACAACTAACATTTTCCAGGTTTTTTTACCAAAGCATGTGCTGGAGCAGGGACACTATATGTGGATGCTGTCTCATCTGGAGGAGGGAAAAAACCACCCACATCGAGGAAACTTGATGTATGAAAGACATGCTCCAAAATGCAAATATTTACCTGAACTCCAAACAGAGGGGATCCGCAACCATTTGGTGGTGAAGGTTTATATCCGTAGCGAGGGAAGGGCTTTGATCCTGAAAAAGGCAATTTATTATGTCTCAAATGTATTTTTTCCCCCCTCACAAAATTTTAGTACTGTCAAAACTCACCACAGGCATTTATTGGGCTTAAGACAGTATCATATTTTTAACTTAAAATGATACTCAGGCACCTGAATATCAACAATCCTTACTGAATTACAACTTAGGGGTACTAAGCATTTTTTTTAAAAAGGGGGACAAGACACCTAAGCAAGTGTTAATGTTAGCTTCCCAAGTTAAAGAAAACAAGAGCTTGAGTTACTAAAATTGATGTGCCAGTTAAGCGTGTAGTATGTAGGATTATGCTAAAGAACAAAGTACTTTACAGTAAGATCATTAATACTTCTACGCTTTATATGCAAGCAACAGCACGCTCTGATTTTTTTAGCTTAGCCTTTAAAAGTAACTGAAATTAAATGTCGTCTTTTATTTCTACAACTGTAACACAAAATTTAAATTAGCAGAGACTGCTACAGTCACGTCTCCCTCAACACTGACTAGTGCAGCACGACGGGGAACTCTGCATCCCAGGTTAAGGATGGTTGTGGAGTTAATTTGAAAAATGACCCTTCACCTTGTTTCCGTATCGGAAACAAACCGAGGCCCCCATCAGAATTAGTGGGGAAGAAAAAACCTGCATATTCTGGTAGAGAGAGGAAAAGCCGCGGTCCCCCGCCCCCGGAGCCGGTCAGGGTGCCGCCACCAGACTCATCTCCTGATCTCCTGACTTAGCAAAAAATCCAACCCGGCAAGCGGGGGGTAAGCGGAAAGCCGAGCAAAAAAACCCCGTGCCGCAGCACGGCTCGCCTGGCACCCCTCCGC